GTCTATTGGGAATGAGGTTTTGAAGGCCGTTGTGGCGCAATTCAATGCGGACCAGCTTCTCACTGAACGGCCCTTCGTGTCGGCGCTGGTGCGTGATGCTCTGATTAAGAGGGCCAAGGACTTTAACCTTCTCTTGGACGATGTGGCCATCACCCATTTGTCTTATGGAGCTGAATTTTCACGGGCTGTGGAGCAGAAGCAAGTTGCCCAGCAAGAGGCGGAGCGATCGAAGTTTGTGGTGATGAAGGCAGACCAGGAGCGTCGTGCTGCCATTGTGCGTGCGGAGGGAGAGAGCGAGGCCGCGAAGCTTATTTCGGATGCCACTGCGAGCGCTGGTGGTGGTCTTATCGAGCTCCGTAGGATTGAAGCATCCAGGGAAATCGCTGCTACCCTTGCCAAGAGCCGGAATGTAGTTTACTTGCCTTCAGGGAACAACATGCTTTTGGGAATCAACCCATCTATGTCAGGTGCCCCATGATAGCCAAATTCACCCTTAACTATCTCTTTGATCTGCTTTGGCTTCATCTCTCGACTGCTTGGGAGAACTGAGTGTAGACTCATATGTCAAAGGTGGGTAAATTAGTTGTTTCTCGAGGAGGTTCGAGAAGAGTTCTGTTCATTTGAGAGGCAGTGAATAATCGCCCACCAGAGTTTGAAACCGCTTTTGCAAATAGAGTGCTAATTGGGCAAAGTTAACAGCAGACGCATGAGCAGTGTAACGGTGTTCCATCTTTCAAATAGAAAGCAATTCTCGTGATTGCTGTCGTAGAGACTCTCTCTGTGTAGCCAATTGGTGAATGGCATAGATGATGAACTAGGAAGCTACCTCAGATGTATGCAAGGGTTCATTGGGCTGTTATTATTCCGCTCTGTTCATATGCTTTGTCAATGTTCTCTTTTACCGTCACTAATGTGGGTTCACAAATGAATCTTATATTCCTGGATGTGATTACATTTGGAAGTCTATAGCTTATTCGTCGTGCTGGCATATATTGTGGGCATTACTTCGAGTGGTGCTTTGTCAACATATTTTGCAGGGACGTTCTCGTACAAACGTCAGATACCTTCAATTTAAATATTGTGTGTTTGATCGCCCATCTGTGAGTTCTGATTACTTTGGTCACCATGGTTATTGTGTATCCTGGATCCCATATGAAACATTATCGATATCCGGATCCTGGCCCCGGTTGAATCGCTGTTTGGATGCATCACTTGTGTTTTGCTTCCAAGATTTAAAGAATGCTTTCTTGTACGAACAATTCCGATTTGCTGTACTTCAGGCTTAAGGCTTCTTGTGCAGAGTCGTGCACAACACTGCCCCCACACCTTTTTTTATCTAATTTATTGTTCAACCCAAAACTTTATATATATATATATATATATTTATGAATATATATGAGTTAGTGGTGATTATTAGAAAATTTGTTATTGTAAAGATATGTTATGCTTTTAATACTAAAATGACTAATATGTATATTATTAATGATTTTACAAAAGAAGGGTTTCATTTTGTTTTAAGTAAAACTGTAAGTAATCTTTAAAAATGATTTTTCTGCACAATAATTTAATAAATAGAAATCTCTCTAGAACTTGTCGTTCATAGCATCCATTCAAAGCTTTTAAAAATCATGACTTTAGTTAAACCAATGAGAACCAATTCAAGTTATTTAAAAATAAGTCCATAAAAGAAACTAAGTGTTAAGCACTCTAAAAAAATTGTGTTATACTTTCAGTTTATATAAACAAAAACAAAATAAAATTTACATGTTTTTTCGATTAAAGAAGTTGATACAGAAGTAATAGACATTTTTTTGTTTTTAATAAAAGACACATTAAATACATCAGTAATTGATTAGCACATCATGTGTTTGTTGAAATATTAAAATTTACATTGAAATAAATGAAATAGTAACATTAATAATATCAATATATATATATATATATATATATATATATAATTTTTAATTTATTTTAAAATAGAAAAATGAGTTAAAATCATAATTTTATTTTTCTTTGTTGTTGTAAATGATTTCAAATCATTTTGATGAAGGTAACAATTATATTTTACTATAAGTCATGTGGTAGGTCAATTTAAGATTTTGGAGTATTAATTTAATATTTCCTTAATTTAATTTATCTAATTTTATTCACCATTTATGATTGATATTAATTTATTATTTGATATTGTTATTTATTTATCCAATTGAATATTACAAATTTTAAATGTCCATGTAAATAAGCTAATATGTAATTTGATACTTTAGTGTGGAAATTTATTTTATTATTAAAATTGTATTATGCATTACAATTTTATTTGTTGATCAATTATTTATTTTGCATCAACAAAGAGACTTGTTTAAAAAAAAAAAAAAAAAAAAAAAAAAACCTTATTAATTTGTTTAAAAAAATATTTTAATCTGTATATATAAAACAACTTAGATATAAGATAAACAAACAAAAATGCATTCTAATGAATTGTCAAAAAGAGAATGTAGAGTGTTAAGAGCATTAAATGTAGCCAGTGCTCTCCATACTATTTATTATAGTCTATGGTATTTATTGTAGCTACAGTGTTTAGAATTTAGTAGAAAAAAAATGTTTATTTTTTCCCCTTCTCTTTATATAAAAGATATAACTCTATCAATAAACTCACTTTTTCTATGTCTATGTTTATATATGTGTGCATATTACTTCTAGCAACTCTTGTTTCTCTTTCTCTAAAACATTCTCAACACATTATCAGCACCATTGCTCTTACACTCTAGTCTTGGTTCTTAAAAACTTATGTACACTTTTTCCTTTGTTTTTTCCTAAATTTTTTTCTTTCTTCTTATGTTATTGTTGTTGTTGCTGTTCTATGTTGTTGTTGTTGCTGCTGCGAAACTGCCGTAGACTACTGCCGACTGATGCACCATGCCACTAACTACTGCTGAACTATGGCACCCTACCGTAGTCCATTGCCAATCCATATTTTTGTGAATTTTATTTATTTATTTATTTATTAATATTTTTGATTTCAAATTTCAACTTTATCATTCTATTTGGCTTTACATATTAAGATGCATTTGTACTCAACCTTTTCTACTTGAACTTGTTTTTATGTTCACAAATTCATTTATAATAAGTGCTTCAACATCCTCAACTGTCTCTACTATGTTTCCAACTATGACCACTATATCCTAATATTTTGAAGCTCTTCTATTTCTACCATAGGCTGCTCATATAAACAATTATCTATTATGGGCAAAAATAGTAAAAGCAAATTTATTTGAAGAACAACTATTGAATGCAATTTTGTTTGAAGAATCTCCTATTGTAAGTACTTCAATTTCTATTGCTATCTATTGGAAAGCACTTCTTCTCCTTTATTGATATCTTGTACTTGCATTGCAATATCAATATTTAGAAATGGAAGATCCAACTAAGCTCTGGGAGAATCTTAAATGTAGATTTAATCATCAAAAGAACATTTTTCTTCTATATGCACATTATGATTGGAAATATTTATGTGTCTTGGATTTTTCAAATTTAAATACTTTCAATAGTAAAATGTATCATATTATCTCACAACTATGGCTATGTAGACAAAGCATCTCTAAAGAAGAAATGATTGAAAAAACTCTCTCAATATTTTTTTGGCATTTGTTGTACTTACACAATAATATAGAAATATGAAATTTCAGAGTCATTTTGATCTCATGTCCTATTTACTTCTTGTAAAAAAATAAAACAAATTACTCTTATGTAATGTAGAAGCTCATCCTATTGAAACCAAGATTCCAAAATCTCATGCACTTAATATTCCAAAGTCTAAGAAACAATTATACAAACATGGAAAAAATACTCCTAAGTACTAGGTTAGTATCACGGACATATATATGTCAACCAATAATTATCTATATGATTAGATAATAATAAGTAAAAATAGGTTAATTCCATAATATCTTATAAAGAAGCTTCATAAATATTGCTTTGACTTTATAAATATCTATAATTGATTTTTTAGGTTAGAAATATAGTCAACAAGTTGGCCATGTGCTACACATATTGGTAGCTTGAAAAACAAGCTAACTATGTGGCCTATACATAAAAAACTTGCCTTATAAGGTAAAACATGTGTCTTGCAAAGTCAACACATATTAGAGGTCCTATAGAACATTGTCATGTAGCTGCTAGTTAGATAGTATATATAGAGGCAAGAATGAAGCCTTCTTTACTCTTGCCAATTTTTTTCTTGCTTCTAGTCTAGTTTTAAGAGTCTATAGTTTCTTTATCTTTTGGCAATAGCCATTTCAGTTCCCATTTAATATACCTACTGCTTTATTGCTATCTTGTCACTTTTCTTTTGACACAGTTTTCTTCGATTTATGTATCTTCTTCCAATTCATGTTCTTAATAGTGAGTCATAGTTATGTCTATTTTTATCCATATAAAAATAATAAATGTTCTATAATTAATTATAATAGAAAATAAAAATCAGAGATATATTCTTTCTATAAATACGAAATAATTGGACATTTGGCACATACGTGTTGTATTTTAGAATATTTTGTTAAAATATTCCAAAAAAATAAGAAACTTCAAATTAAGGCTTGTGAAGTTTATACTATGGATGCGTCTATAGATTCAATTGGTGTTGATATTTTAGAGGCTTATAAGAATGATGAAACCTCTAATGATGAATCAAATGATGTATTCATTGATTTTGCAACAACACATACTATCTTGAGAGATAGACAGTTTTTTATTGAAAAATCTTCAATCTGACAAACTAGAAATTTGATGACTATGGCTAGAACAAATGTGTTTTATTTCCAAGAAGAAACGTTGATGGTAAAATTACCTACAGACTCTATTATAAAATATAAACATGTAATGTTTGTACCCTCAATACCTCAAAATCTGATCAGCTATTGAGATGTGCCTGCTAATAGTTATGACCTCTCAATTACAATTCTAGATAGGCAGGAGGTTTTGGTTCTTAAATAGAATCATAAAATTTTAGAAAAAGCCTTTGCTGCGACAAATGATTTATGTTGGATTGCAATCCGGCCTCTTATTATATTTAATTTTGTATTATTTATGACAAAAGATTGCATTTTTTCTTTGGCATAGATGATTGAAATATTGAGGATTTATATTATTTCGAAAGATAATTCTATGTATAACTAAGCATAATTTAAGACCTGTAGATACAAATTCTATGGAATTATATCATGCATGTATGTAAGACAAGATGATTGCTTGGCCTTCAATTTGAAAACTCCAATAAGAATTACCACCAATACTTGAAAGGTTGCATAGTGATATTTGTAGTCCTATTAATCCAATATGTGGACCATTTCGTTATTTTTTGGTCATTGTTGATGCATTAGACAAAAAATCATATATTTCATTATTTTCATCTCAAAATATGGTATTTATTAATTATATATTTATTCTTATTTATTTTTGAGCATATTTTCTTAATTATCCTATCAAAATATTGTGTATGAATAATGAAAAAGAATTTGCATGAAGGTCCTTTGAAGACTATTGTACTACAATAAGGATTGAATTGACATATTGGATTCTATATGAACATGCTCAAAATGGACTTCTAAAGTCATTTATAAAGCATATACAACTCATTACCTGGCGACTCCTTCTTTATAAAAATTTACCTACATCTATGTGGGATCATGCAGTTTTGTATATTGCAGTATTAATATGCTTCCGTTCTTCTTTTCTTGAAATTATTACACCACAAGAGCTCATTTCAAGTTGTGTCTTAAATGTATCTCACCTATGGATGTTTGCTTGCCATACTTGGATTCCCATACCAAAACCTCAACGGTGTACAATTGGAGCTAATTGATGATAAGGCATATATGTTGGTTTTGATTCATTAAGCATTATTTGTATAGTTGACCTATCAACTAGCATGTTATTAGGTGCAAGTTTTTAAAATTTTTGTTTTAAAGAGAATATATTTCCATCTCTTTGAAGAAGAGTATTTAATCAACAAAGAAATACAATATTTGTATTTGGAGCACCAAAAATATTTATAATGAATCTTGATCTTGGAACATCTTTGGCTAAAAATGAAGTTTCCAAGATTTTGTATCTAAAACAGATTGCAAATGAACACTTGATGGCTTCAAAAATGTACCTTGGATTACAAGAATTTTAATTAATGAGGCTCAAAATGAACCCGCTCTGATTGCAAATATATCTCAGGTTAAAACATCAAGAATTAAAAGGACTTGTGGATCTGCTAAACAACCATAAAAGAAAAAAACTATAATATGTGGTGATATTAGTATTGTTTCTGTGGAAGTTCATACTAAACCTGCAGGACCATGAATTAATGAAAATATGTCCATGCACATTATACCTTCACCTTATGCAATAAATAATCTTAAAATTAATAGGAATAAAATCAAATTGAATATAGAATTATTTGTTCTATATTATATGCTACAAATGACCTTTGAGGTAGACCATCTATTATAATAAATGAATCATTTGCATTCATAGTGATAAAAGTTTATTTTTATAAGAAAGAAGATCCTAAACCTCAAACCATTCATGAAGCGATGTATCGCTCGAACTGATTAAAATAAAAAATTGCCATCGAGAAAGAATATGCTTCTTTGTGTAAGAAGAAAGTCTTTGGTCCAATTGTGGATACTCTTACTTCTTACCATGTGGGATATAAGATGGTATTAGTATGCAAGTGAGATGTTAAGGATCAAATAATCCGCTATAAAGCTTGTCTTATTGCTCAAGGATTTATCCAATGATTTGGCATTGATTATGAATCCACATATTTTTTAGTCATGGATTTAATTACGTTTTAATATATTATTAGAATGACAATTCATACCACCGTTGAGATGCTTCTCATCAATGCAATAAGTGCATATTTTGTATGATTTACTTGATGCACATATTTATATAAAAGTTCGACTTAGTTTGGAAATAGAAACTCCAAATATAACTACTCTAGGATAATATTGTGGTATTAAATTACACAAGGCCATGTATGGTCTAAAATAATTTAGATGCATATGGTGTTAACGTCTTCAAGCTTATTTAATTATAAATACATTTGTAAGTGATCCATTAATCCCTTATTTATTTATCAAATGAAATAAAATTGGTTTTGTAATCATCGCTGTATATGTTGATGATCTTAACCTAATAGGTATTAGATCTGTATACATTGCAGTTATTAACCTACTTATATGTGAATTTGAGATAAAAATACTAGAAAAAATAACTTTTTGCATTGATATTCAGATTATGTATCTCATAGATGGTAGCATTTTTTTCTACCAACTAATATATATCAGACAAATTTTACGGAGATTCAATATAATTGATGATTATCTATTCTCCACATCAATGGTTGGACATGGTTGTGATAGTTATGATCTATATCATCCGTGCAAGGAAGAAGAAGAAATATTTGGAGAACAATATCCATACCTTATAGCGATTGGAGCACTTTTATATTTAGCTACATCTATTAGTTCAAATATTGCATTTGAAGTTACTGTTTTTGCAAGACACAATGCATGTCCAACACTACGACATTCGAATGGCATCAAAAATTTACTATGTTATTTAAAAGATACTAAAGATTTGGAATTATACTACACACAATCTACAAATTCAAAATTAATTGGATATTCTGATATAGGATATAAATTTGAAATTACAATAGTTAAATCTCAAACATGCTATGTATTCTTAAGATATGGAACTACAATATTATAAAAATTAGTGAAACAAACTATAATTGCAACTTCATTTAACCATGCAAAAATTATTGCGTTACATGAAGCATCTTGCAAATGTATTTGGTTGCAATCAATCAATAAACTCATTCAGACAACTTGTAGACTTTCATATGATGATTCTCCAACTATCTTGTATGAAGATAATAGTACTTGTATTGCACAAATACAAATTGGTTTTATTAAAGGAGATAGGACAAAGCATATTGATCCAAAGTATTTTAGTTATACCCATGACTTAGTTACTAATCAAGTATTTAAGATCAAGAAAATTGAATGTGCAAATAATCTTGCTGATTTTTTCACCAAAGTTCTCCTTTTGTGCAACTATCACCAACTCACTTATGGCATTGGTATGCAACGACTTGCTTTTCTTAAGAAAGAAAGTTAATGAACTCTTGAGATAATATTGTACTCTTTTTCCTTCATCTATAGTTTTTTTCTTAAATACAATAAGTTTTTCCTAGATAAGGTTTTAATGAGGCAATAGTTGTTGATCTTACGAGATTACAAAAAAATATAGATCATAATTCTATGCATATAAATCTTATGACGAGCAAAGAAGAGTATTGAGAGCATTAAATATAGTTGGCACTCTCCATACTATTTTCTAGCTATTCTTGTCTCTTTTTTTCTAAAACATTCTCAATATGGAACACTCAAAGAACACAAAGTTGTTGGAGACTGAGTATCTATAAGAATAAAGTTGAAACATAATTGTTGAGACAAAGTTGTTGGAATCCTAAGTTCTTTGCCTACAAGGGTCACAATGTAGGTGGTAGATGTTGTACTTATTGTTATGAGTTGTATTGTATTTGATAGCAAACTTTGCAAATGTTGGATGTGGATATGTTTTGTTTATTGTTTTAGATTTATTTATTGTTTCATAATACTATTTTTGTATGCTGCTTGATATCTTTTGTTTTTAGTGCATTTGATGATGAGCCCTCCTTCTTGGTAGATTGCAAGCACGAGTTTCTCAGCCAAAATAGATTAATAGTTTGATATGATCTTGATAGCTTTTACAGAGAAGACTACAGCACTTGCCATCCCTGCAAACGTGAGTAGATCTATCTATGTTTTATGTTTTTGCTCCTCTTCATCGGGCATGTTTGTTAGTCGGAACAATCATCTTTTCTTTCTTTAAAGATCAATGTTGTGGCTCTCCTCCTTGCATGCATATTATGTGGTGCATTTGATGTTGTGGCCCTCCTTCTCACTAGATCGCAAGCACAGGTTCCTCAGCCAAAACAAATCAAGTGGGAGGAAGCAAGCTCTCGACAACAAGTGGGAGTAACTTTGTGCTTGGTAAGGACATTATCAATTCAGTTCTTCTATGGCTTTCTACCATGATTCTTTATTAGTATTTGTATTTTTATTTAGAGGTGAGGATATGAAAGGAGAGTAGACAGCAGGGACTAGAGTTGGATCAAGTGGATGGTAAAGGGAGTATGTCCATTAGGACATTCTTTGGGTGACCTAGGATCCTTGGTACAAGCATCTTATTCCCAAAGTAGGATGGCTTACTGCAGTTCATGATCAGCTGGAAAGATAGACTTTATCTTGATTCAAGCGGCATTTAGTTGTGTAGCTAAGAAACAGAAGCCGTGTTACATGCAGACTTAGGAGGCGACTGACCAAAAACTTTAGGAGGACAAGTTGGTGGTCTTGCTCTTCTATTGGAAATGTGCATGGCGAGATATCAAAGTTGGGACTGTGCTCGGAGGAAGAGCTAATTCAGTTTGCGGTACATGGCTCTTTTTTAATTGAGAGTTCTTAACCCTATCCGCCCCGCCATGTCCTCAAACATTGTCTTTTTTATTGGCTTAGTAAAAATGTCAGCCTGCTGGAGATCCATGGGCGTGAAAATCACCACTATGGTTCCTGCGGCATTTTTTACTCTAATAAAGTGATGTTGCAATTCTATGTGTTTTGTGCGTGAGTGTAGGACCGGATTCTTGATGAGTTTGACTGCCCTGAGGTTGTCGCATTAGAGTGTAGTTGAGTCTTGTTGTGTTATTTTGAGATCTTGAAGCAACCTTCTTGTCCACGTTATTTCCTTCGCAGCGTCGGTGAGGGCACGGTACTCAGCCTCGGTTGTCGATATTGCAACAGTTGGCCGAAGATTATTCTTTTAAGAAATAGGGGCCTCTCTAAGCGTCAATAGCATCCTTGAAGTAGACTTGGGCCCTTCCGGATCACGCACCCAGTCAGAATTTGCAAACGCTTGTAGGATGAGGTTATTGATGCTCGGGAAGAGGATACCATGGGTCGTTGTGCCTCGGATGTAGCACAAGTCCTTTTTTGCCGCTTCCACGTGAATTGCGAGAGGTGAGGTCATGAAACAAATCAACATAGAAACAGAGTAGGAGAGTTTGCGCCGAGAATGGGTGAAGAAGATGAGGCTGCCCACGAGGCTCTAGTATGCATGTTTGTCCGTCTCGAGTGAATTCATGCAAGATTGGAGCTTTGTGTCATTTCCCTATGGCGTGAGCAAAGAATTATAAGCGCCTATGTTGTTTTTAGTGAGGAGCTGTCCTGCATATTGTCCTTGTGAAACAAAAATGCCCTCGGTTGTGTATTAAAATTTGAGTCCAATGTAGAGCAAGAAGGTGCCGAGCGCAGATACTTGATACTTTGTCTGTAGTGAGGTTTCAAATTGTTGGAGTTCGTTGGTTGCGTCTCCAATAAGCATGATGTCGTCGACATACAATGTGAGGATTATGTACCAATTTGTTTCTGTCACTATGGTATACAAGTTGTGGTCGTGTTCGCTCTGCTCTAGGCCGATGCTGAGCAGAATTGTATCGATGTCAATGTAGCATGATTTGCCTGATTGTTTTAGGCCATAAAGCACCTATTGTAGCCTACAGAAGTTGCGTTTTGAACTTCTCCGTTTGTCCATCTGCAAAAATTTTGGTGCGAAATACCTATTTCGACGTGACTGGGCGCTTACCTACTCGAAGTGGTTTCAGGGACCATGTGCCGTTGAAGATTAAGGAATCATAATCTTCTTTCATCGCCTGGCGCCAACCGGGGTGTTGATTTGCCAACTCGAAATCCTTTGGTTCTGGCGTTGGTGCAAGGACAAAAACATAGTCTTTAGTTGTGATGGGTGCGCTCCAAAGGCGGGTCAATTTTTGTATTGCTACAGGGTGTTGCTGGTTGCGCATGTCCATTCGAGTAGTGTTGATTGAGGAAGAGGCAGTTGCTGGTTCAATGTCGATTGGAGGTTCCATTATATGCTGGCGTGTTTTGCTTCTTTCTTGCAAAGGGGGATCTTTTTTGCATTGTTGTTGACTAACTTGTTCTTCAGCTGAGGTGAATTTGGTTGGTTCTGCAACTATCGTCTGGTCGTCGCTGTTAGTGAACTTTAGGGAGTAGATGATGTCCTGGATCGATGGTACTGTTGTTTGTGAATGTCAGATCATTGCCATCTCAGATTCGTCAAAGAATGCATCCTTGGTTATGACGATCTTTTGCTTGTTGAGGTGGTAAAGCCGGTAAGCCTTCAATGCCAGGTCATAGTCGGCCATGATGCATAGGTCTCCGCACGGGTCCAACTTGGTTTTATCGTCCTTTCAAACGTGTGCATACGCTGTGCAGCCAAAAACTTTGAGGTGGATAATGTTAATCGGCTTACTTGTGTATTTGTGAAAGGGTGCTTTGTCGTTGTTTGACTTTGTGAGAGTAATGTTGACAAGATACGTTACGGTGCCAATGACTTCCGGCTAGAGGACAACGAGTAGATGTGCGACTATTGCCATCGTGTAAGTTTTATCAAGGAATGTTTGGTTCATCCGTTCCACTACCCCGTTTTGGTGAGGGATGTGTGGGGCGGTGAGCTGTCTTTGTATTACTTCTTGTTAGCAGAATGCCAAAAAATTTGTTGACATAAACTCCCCTCCCCTATCCGTTCTAAGGACTTTGACCTTGCTTTGGCTTCCGTTTTCTATCTGTGCCCTGAGACTTTTGAAGTTTTTGAAAGTTGAAGTCTTGACTTGGAGAAAGAACACCTAAACCATTCGGCTGAAATCATCGATTACAATAAGAAAGTACTGTGGGTCTCCCTGAGAGGTTTGAGTGAAAGGGCCACACAAATCAACACGGAGTAACTGGTTTTTGGTGGTTGCACGCGTGGAGCTTTCCTTTGTAGCGGGTAATTTGTGCAGCTTTTCTTTCGCGCGCTTATGGCAAAATCATCTGTCGGATGGGATGTGCGGTATTTCCTTGATAGAGTGCTTCGTGGATAGGTCGTGGAGCAATTGGAAATCGGGGCACCCAAGTCTTTGGTGCCATAACATTGCAGAGTCTTGTTCTACTAGATGTGCTCCGATTTGGGGTGGCATACTTGGTTTGCTTGGTGTTGTGAGTCGATACAGATCTGTGAGTGAGTCTCCGATTCCCTGTGTAACTACTATTGTTGGCTTTCGTGTTGTCATGATGTAGTAGCGGCTTGCTATTAAGATCATAATACATACCCTATTTGTTATCGTACCAACAGACAAGAGGTTCTTGCGTACTCCAAGCACATGGAGTACTCCAGGCACTTTTTGGGTTTTGTCTCCACATTGCACTACTGTTGTCCCCTCTCCTCGCACTTCGTGTTCTTGTCCCGCTATTGCCTTCACCATTGTGTGCATTGTGTTAGTTCGTACAATGCGGAGGTTGGATTGGTTTCCAGTGACATGTACTGTGGCACCGCTATCCAAATACCAGTGTGCGTCGTCGCGATCTAGGTTGAGCGCAAACATTACTATGTCGAAAAAGATTTGTTCGTCCTCCTTTTCTTTGTTTTGTTGTTTTGATTGTTGCTCTGGGTTCTCGGTTATGATGTTGGCTTGGGACCAACTGTGTGCTTGCAGTCGTCTGATTCTTCTAGGTTGGGGACATTCCCGAGCGAAATGACCCCACTTATGGCAATTGTTACACTTCCTATTCTGTGAGGGACCTCGATATTGCTGGTTTGCAAAATCTTGGCGCTTGGATCGTTCTTCTTTGCAGGTTCTGGAGCATGAGCGCCTCGCCTTGATCTTTTGGTCGGTCATTTCATCGCTGCTCTTCATACAGGAGCCTGCTGCACAAGCTCTCAAAGATAGGGAGTTGATTTTGTTTGACAATCGCTTGGATGAAGCTGTCATAGCTTAGTGGGAGCGCATTTAGTGTTAGATGGATCAGCCTTGAATCCTAGATTTTTTCTCTGGCGGTCTTGAGTTGGAGCGACGTCTCCCCCATGCGCCAGATGAGTTCTTTGACAATTGTTCCTTCCTGCATCCACAAGGTATATAGTGTGTTCAGCAGTTGCATTGTGTGTGCCATGATTCGTCCCTTGTACATTGTGTGCAAAAACTTCCATGCATTTGCTGAATCTGTGCATTCTACTATGTGATGGATGACGCTGTCTTTCATCGACATGATGATGATCGCCATCGCCTTGTACTTGTCGCGTTCTTCTGCAGCTTGCTCGTCTAGTGGCCGAAGGTCGACGGTGATTCTGCCGTCTACTGAGCCCATTTTCGGATAATGGAGTGTAAGCTTCATTTCCTGCTACCTCAATATTTCGGATTTTTCTCGGATTTCCTTAACTTTGCCCATGTTCCATGTATGTGTCACAGACTTGGGCTCTGAATCCTGAGTTATATCCAAGATTATGGTCGCTTAATATTATCAAGTTGTAACGCGATTCTGCCCACGTTTGGATTATGGAGTGTAGGCTAATTTGATTGTTTCCCTGCTACCTATTCAATATTTCGATGGTTTATGATGCTCATGTGCAGGTTGTGTGCTCTTGGACCAAGTGGAAGATGCTACGCTGGGCGTTGAGATCACGCATCAACATGTCAAAAGTGTGTTGAGATCACGCATCAACATGTCAAAAGTGTGTTCTTGGTAAGAATCACTTCTCTCTCTCTCTTCTTTCTTTCTTTATTTCTTTTTTTTTTTTTTTTTTTTTTTCTTTTCATTGCTTCCATTTCATAGATTATTACGATCGATTTAGACTACGGCCGAGAAGTGCGCCCTTTGGTTAAGAGTTTTTGCCCAAGATATGGTTATTTGAGGCTAAGGATTGAATGGTTAATTAGGTAAAAAATTGTATTAAATATATCTTAAGAATTGGAGTTTAATAGAAGCTAAGTTTCTTGACTGATTTTTTGAGGTCGCTAGAGAAAATTCTCTTTTGGTGGACTCTCCCTACAAAAAGCTCTACCGTGTAAGTAACCATGTCAATTTTTCATTCATGCTTGAAGTGCTCTACTAAAAAAGTATCATTTAATTCTTGGCTGGGGGACTTCTTGGACAAAGTCTAAACCAGTCCTGAAATGGCATACATCCATTCTTTCTTGACCAGTCCTTCTAAAAATTTTCTTCTGTAAAAATGAACCAAATGTATTAACTCATTATCTATTCTTTGGAAAGCCAGGATATTATAACAGCAGGCACAAACTCAACCATTGAAGTAGTGGAGTGGGCAATAACAGAGTGCATCCACAACCCAGCTGTGATGAGCAAAGCATAAGCAGAACTTCACAGGGTTGTAGGCAAGTCCCTGAGAGTGCATGAGGCAGAGATTCCCAACCTTCTGTACTTACAAGCCATCTGCAAGGAAGTGTTTTGCCTACACCCAACCACCCCTCTACTATACCCCCATGTGAACCAACATGCTTGCACAGTGTTTGGGTATGACATACTAGCAGGGACATCCATGCTTGTGAATGTGGGGGCCATAGTGCAAGACCCAAGCATTTGGGAGGATCCCTTGGTGTTCAAACCTGAAAGGTTTCTTGAAAGGCATTCACATTTGGATGCTCAGGGCACCACATTGAGTTGTTGCAGTTTGGAACTGGGTGGCCGCAGTGTCCGGGCATTGGACTCAGCCTCACCATGGTGTACATCTTAACTGCAACTTTGTTGCACTGTTTTGAGTGGTCCCTTCCACAAGACTTGCTACCTGAGGACTTGGACATGGCAAGAGCTCCTGGGAGCTTAACTGTGCAAGCTAATCCCTTGATTGCCATTCTTAAGGCCTGGTTATCTTTTTAAATTGATGTTGCATTACACAAATCAAATAATAGTTTTCTTGTTTTTGGGCAGTTTGTACATGATCCATTTGAATGTCATTCAAAATACATCACTTTCTTTGGTGAGAATTTTCTCATTTATAAGCCCAAGTAAAGATAATGTGACATTGCTTCTAAAAAATATTGTACCACAAGAATCATTGGATTTAATCCCTAAAAATTCTTGACTATTTCTTACCAAAAACACTTCAAAACTGCCTATTCTAGTGCAAACAGTGGAAAAGAAAAAGAAATCTCTTTTATGTCCAACCATAAGATCTTAACCTTCGCTGCTACAAAACCATGCTCACATATTTTTATAACATTTGAATACACAGATTGGAAGGTTATAGTGGTTTGAAGTGAAGAGAAAGGGTTTTTTTTCTTCCTTGCAGTAAGGGAATCAACAGAACTTGACTGTACTTAGTGCCAAAATTTTGCATTACAAAAGTTTTAAATTTTATACCATTATGGTTTACATGATGTTAGTTCTTTGTATACTAGTTTTTAGAGGTAGAGGATAACCAAATCATTTTCAAAAATTGTGTAATGGAAGGAGATTCAAAAATTTCCATAACATATTTTAATTTTTTTATAAATTCATGTCTTTATAAATTGAGTATCCAAACGGTCAAAACAAAGGTTCATGCTTTCTCTTTGATGAAAGCATTAAATGTAGCCAATGCTCTCCATGATATTTACTATAGTCTATAGTAAATACTATAGCTACAGTACTTAGAATGTAGTGGAGAAGAATTATTTATCCTCTCTCCTTCTCCTCTTATGTACGTGACACAATCAGACCAATAGACTTGTGTGTGTGAAGCTCTCTCTTTTCTTTAGAAACTCTCTTGTGTGTGTGTATTACTTACTATTAATCTTGTGTATGTGTTTATTACTTACTACTACTCTTATGTCTTTCTAAACACTTTCAACATGTTATCAACACGACTCTCTTCTACACATTATGACAATATTTTTTTGCTTTAGTCTTGACTCTTCAAATCTACTCATGCTCTTTGTATGACTCATGATCTTGCTGCACTTCTTGCTAGCTCCTCACATATTAGCTGCTTACTTAGAGCACTTGCTCCACTCTATCTTTTCTTGCTTAAAATACTTGCTTCAGTCCAGCATCTTTATTGCGCCTTGTGCTTGTCGTCAAACAGCCGTCAAATAGCTGCCAAACTACCACTTAACTACGGCCAAACTGTCATTGTTGCTTGTTGTTGATCATGTCGCCGATCTTATCGTTGATATTACCTTGCCACTATCGACTCTTGCCAAATAGCTGTCAACCCCACCGCTGACTGCCGTTGATGCTACCGCCACCCTACCACTACTCCCGCCACCCTACTACTACCACCCTGCTGCTGCTACCTTGCCTCTGCTGCCCTACCGCTCTCGCCCTACTACCACTACTAACTACCGCTGCCATTCTGTTGCTGCCACAATTTATAACCTTCTTAAAAAATAAAAAATAAAAAAATAATTAATTAATATTTTTTATTTCAAGTTCAAGTTTATCATTCTATTTGACTTTATATTTTAAGATATATTTTAGTCAACTTTTCTACTTGATCTTATATTTTCTTTACAGATTTATTTATAATGAGTGCTTTAACATCTTTAACTGCTTCTACTATGGTTCCAACTATTACTATTTTATCCCAACTTTTTCAAGCTCTTTTATTTCCACCATTGACTATGGATAGGAACAATAATCTATTATAGGCAAAAATGGCAAAAGAAAAAATTTATTTATAGAACAACTCTCAGATGCCATTATGTTTGAAGAATCTCTTACAATAGGTATTTCTATTCCTTTTGCTATCCATTGGAAAGCACTACTTCTCATTCGTCGTCATCTTATACTTGCATTACAACATCAATATTTAAAAATGGAAGATTTTTTAGAACTTTGGAAGAATCTTAAATCTAGATTTGATCATCAAAAGACCATTTTCTTTCCACGTGCATATCATAATTGGATACATTTACGTGTCTTGAATTTTCCAAATTTAAATGCTTTCAATAGTAAAATGTATAGTATTGTCTCATAATTACAATTATGTAGACAAAGCATCTTTGAAGAAGAAATGATTGAGAAAAATCTCTCTACATTTCTTCTTGTATGTGCTGTGTTTGCACAACAATACAGAAACATGAAATTTCAGAGTCATTCTGATCTCATATCCTATCTATTTCTTACAGAGAAGAAAAATGAACTATTCTTGCACAATGTGGAAGCTCGTCCTATTGGAACTACAATTCCAGAATCTCATGCACTTCATATTTCAAAGTCTAAAAAAAAATTATATAAACATGGGAAACATGCTCATAAGTATCATGGTAGTCATAGTCATATTCATTTCTACCTATATAGAAAGAATAAATGTTCTACTATTAATTATAGTAGAAAATAAAAATCAAAGATGTATTCTTGCCATAAATATGGAATGATTGGACATTTAGCACATATGTACCGTACTTCAAAATATTTTAATAAAATATTCCAAAAAAATAAGAAACTATGAGCTGAGGCTCCTGAAATTCATACCATGGATGCGTCCATAGATTCAATTGGTGCTGATGACTTAGAGGCTTATATGAATGACAAAAACCTCTAATGATGAATTAAATGATGCCTTCATTGAATTTGCAATAATACATACTATCTTGCGAGATGGACGATTTTTTATTGAAAATTTTTCAACTTAATAAAGTAAAAATATGATGACCATGGCTAGAACAAATGCATTTTGTTTCCAAGAGGGCACAACGATGGTAAAATTACTTGTAGGTTGCATTAAAAAATATAAACATGCAATGTTTGCACCTTCAACACCTTAAAATCTGATCAGCTATCGAGATGTGCGTATTAATGGTTATCACCTCTCGACCACCATTTTAAATAGAAAAGAGATTTTGGTTCTTGCTAAGAACTATAAAGTTGTTGAAAAAGATTTTGCATAGAAAACAATTTATACCAAATTTTGATTCGGCCTTCCATTATATTTAATTTTGCATCATCTATCACAAAGAGTCGTGCTTCTCTCTAGCATGGATGATTGGAACATCCAGGATCTACATTATTTAGAAAGATCATTCCATATATAATTAGATATAATTTAAAGCCTGTGGATGTAGACTCTGTGGAATTATTTTGTACATGTATATAAGATAAGATGATTATTCCGCCTTCAATTTGGAAACTCCCATAAGAATTACCACCAATGCTTGAAAGATTGCATGGTGATATTTATGGTCCTATTAATCCAATATCGAGACGATTTTATTATTTTTTAGTCCTTCTTGATGCATCAAGTAAACAATCACATGTTTCATTATTATCAACTCAAAACATGGTATTTTCTAATCTTATATCTATAAATATTCATTTTTGGATACATTTTCCTCATTATCCTATAAAAACATTGCATATAAATAATGCAAAAAAATTTGCATCAAAGTCTTTTGAAGATTATTCTATTACAACAAGAATTGAGTTGACATATTGTGTTCCATATGAACATGCTCAAAATGGAATTGTAGAGTCATTTATAAAGCGTATACAACTCATTACTTGGCCACTCGTCCTTCATACAAATTTATCTACATTTATGTGGGATCATGCAGTTTTACATGCTACAATATTAATATGCCTCTGTCTTTCTTCTCTTGAAATTGTTTCACCACATGAGCTCATTTCAGACCATGTTCCAAATACATCTCACTTACAAGTATTTAGATGTTGTGCTTGGATTTCAGTACTAGAACATTAATAACATACCATTGGAGCTCATCGATAGGAAGGCATATATATTGGTTTTGATTTATTAAGCATTATTCGTATTATTGATCCATCAAATCGCACATTATTACGTGTACGTTTGCAAAATTGCTGTTTTGAAGAGAATGTATTTCCATCTCTTCAAAGAGGAGTATCCAATCAATAAAGAAATAAAATACTTGTATTTGAAGTACCAGAAACATTTACAATGAATCCAAATCCTAGGACAACTTTGGCTGAAACTGAAGTTGCTAAGATTTTGCATCTAAAATGGATTACAGATGAAACACTTGATGGTTTTAATGTTGTACCTAAAATAACAAGAATTCCTATTAATGAGGCTCAGAATGCACCTGCTTAGATTGTAGTGCCATTGACTACAATACCTCAAGTTATAACAACAACAACTAAAAAAACCCATGGATTAGATAAGCAACCACATAAGAAAAAAACTATAATATTGTCTAATCTTGGTATTCTTTCTCAAGAAATTACCACTCATCGTGTGGGACCACTAATTCATGATTATATATCCATGCATAATGTACCTTCAATTCTTGTGAAAAATAATCTTAGAATAGGAAGGAATAAGAACAAGTTAAGTAAAGAATTATCTATTTTGTATAATGCTATAGATGATATTTGGGAGAGACCATCTATTACAGTGTCGTGTTGTAACACGACTATATGGTAAAAATATAAATAAAAAAGATATTATTAATATTTAGTCATCTTGAATGTTAGAAATAGTGGTCAATTCCAGTGCCAATATTCAGGGTCAATTAATGTCACCCCACCGATGTCATCGAACTGAGTACCTTCTGTACCAATGGGACAACCAAGATCATTTTCCAATCCTACATGGAAGAAGCCTAGTAGGTATATGCCGATGGAGACATCCAATATGCATGATGAGGGTGCAAGAAGACCACTTTGTCATTTCCGTTGCATACAGGTTGGTCATTATGCGACTGAATGTTCTAATCCTAAAGCTAGTGATGATTATGCGCCAGTGTGTAGGAATTGCAAGCAGTGGAGGCATACTTATCAGCAATGTTATGCTCTGTCTAATTTCAATAAACAAGATCAGCAGATCC